AGATAAGCTAGCCCAGTTAAAATAATCACTAACCCTTACTTTAGTTATACAGATAAGCTAGCCCAGTTAAATTCTAAAGTTTTAATGTCAATCTATGTAGTATTAAGGCTTAAACTTATCTTTTTCAGTTGTGGAGTGTATTAATGCAGGAAACATAACAATGTAGTATTTAGGCTTAAAAAATAAACTGGAGTTATGGGTTTATGTACATGTATTCTAATCATAACAACAAGAAAAAAAATAATCAAAATATGTCCTGTTCTAGAATCTCCGATGACATTAGAGCAAGTTATTAAGTACGGATTCATTACAAAACAGCCTGCTACAGTGTAGCATCAGTCGATCAGTCTACTAGGGGTCTAATTAAATACAAAAGGATATAATTTAGAGTACAATTAGTCCTAACTTAGAAAGGTTCATTTCTACAGTATAACTTTTCAAATATTTCAACAGACAAACAAATTCTGATTAATGCAAGTAATTTGAAATCTTGAATGCAGGAAAAATAAAAAAAGTTGATAAAAAAAAATATACAAACTCAAAACACAGGAGATAATGTACTGATAGCTGTCTTAATGAAGACAAACACCAGACACAGGAGATAATGTACTAATAACTGTGTTAATGAAGACAAACACCAGACACAGGAGATAACTTACTAATAACTGTCTTAACGAAGACAAACACCAGACACAGGAGATAATGTACTAATAACTGTCTTAATGAAGACAAACACCAGACACAGGAGATAACTTACTAATAACTGTGTTAATGAAGACAAACTCTAGACACAGGAGATAACTTACTAATAACTGTGTTAACGAAGACAAACACCAGACACGGGATATAACTTACTAATTACTGTGTTAATGAAGTCAATTGATCTCATCACCAGTTGGATAAAAACTAACAACAATTTATACAAATCTCAAAATAAGAAATTATTTAAACAATGACAAATTAAAATAGAAAGTGTAACTTCTTTCTTATCACCTCAACATCATGAGAAATATATCTAAATTTTATCTTCCACCTAAACATACAGAACGAGACCATAGACAACAGTGCATTCAAATATTAAAAAGTAACTACTACTTACTTTACAACCCATTACACACAAAGGTCATAGTGAAAGCAGTGGAACATCGGCAGAAAGTGGGTGTTCATTATGGAGGTAAAAAAAGTATTACTGGATGTCCAACCCATAATTTTCATTGATAAAGGTACCTTTTGATGGTACCTGAGACTGTTCTTATTACTTTTAAATACATTATTTTATATATATGGGTCCAATTGCACCTGCCCTGCCTAACAATATGAAAAACAACAACTTATCAAACAAGTTAATTTTACCAAAACAGTGGAAGGGCCCACCGATCATGTTTAAACATGCATCCTGATAGAAACAGCATCAAGAAACCATAACACAATCAATCTGATGTTTGTAAAATATCAAAAATAGATGATTGAGAAACTGGGCTGGGCCTCTTTACAGATTTAGGATTACTTTATACAGTCTGTGAACTGTTAAATCAGTAAGAACAGTACTCCATTTTACTAATTTCCTTGTAATTGTATCTTGTAACGACAATAGATAATAATAACTGACTGGCCTTTGATACAAAGTTCAATATTTACCATTCTTGGCTGAACAGTCCAAAATAGACAACATTTAGTTCACAAAGGTCTGACATAATGTTAAAGTTTTCTGTAAGAACACTTCAGGTGATTCAACTTGCAAACGAATATTTTAAAAACTTGCTTTAAGTAGTTTTCTGCTATTTCCTTTTGAAGTTTGTATGAGATAAGTTTTGTAAGATAAGTTTAGCATACTTGTACGAACAGCATTATGACATTTTGCTAAATGTTAATAGAAATAGTTCTCCGAAAGTTGTAAAGTTTTATAGTGTTTTTGAATTAGTGTATTAGCAGATAGAATATTTAAAGATAATCTTCATAAGTTGACCACCTCTACGTTAGAGAATGGATGTGAACATCCGTAACATGTTTCAAATCACAGTTTTTACTGGTTCGAAAAAAACAACAGTAGATAGAAATTCACAAATGAAGTTTATGAAAACTGTGAACAATAGTTATATTTATTTAACACCTGAATTATAAAATAATTTCAACAAACTCTCTTCCATTGACTGGTAGCAAAAACCTCCACAATTGGTTAAGATGTTTATAATTTGGATTAGTTACCAAAGAATTCATATTCTTCAAATTACATTACAAACACTGAAGTGTTAGTTTTACAACTTAACACTGTAATATGTGTTAAGGATATAGACACGTAAAATAAACACTAAAAATTCAAAAACCAAAAAGCTTTTAACGTAAGCATCCAAACCACGTCAGGGCCTTGTTTTTTTTTTTTATGTATCAAAAGAAATCTTATGCACCATAAGATTGCTGATTTACACAGTGACTAAGAAAATATAAAAATTATGCATTCATTATGTGGCAAAATTTAAATTTATGCAACTATTATATAAGGAAAAAATGACTTAAAACAATAACATTTAAGAGAATATTTAATACTTTTAATGCAATTTCACCATAATCAACTATTTATAGCTTTTACTAAATAACAACAACAACACAGAGGTGGAACTAGAGTGGGGCAATGCCCTGGAGCCTGCAACCCTGGTCTGGTCTCATCTTCTGAAAAAAAGAGGCCCCCGATCATTTCTTTGCTCCAGGGTCCCTGAACTGCACTTTCTGACTTTAATCAGACAATCATTAGCTGCCGAGCAGCACGAAACAAACTATGTTATTAATAAGTTAAACTCGAGGCCCTGTTTCACTTAATCTGAAATTCAGACATAATCACAAACAAGTTGAAACAAGAATTCAACACAGCTATAAATACACGTTACATTGTCAAGGTATGTGTAACAATTAGTGGCAAAACTTGAAAATATCTGTTCATTCTTGTACAGTTGTACTCACGAGGAAAGAACTTTACAACATCCATTGACCGAAGAGATAGAATGAAACAAAGTTAAAACCACATCACAAATATGTAATGGTAAAATTTGATCTAGGTCACCATTTGTTTTGAAAAGAAAAGCTTTGAATGTAAAGATTTTGAAGTTTTTCTAAATTCTATTTCACATACAGAAAAAAACAGATATGTCCCCACAATGCATCAATAATTTCAGGAATATAAAAGTGTGAGATAAAACCACATACATTAAAAGTTGGACCCCTCAATTACCTTTCACATGATTGTCATCTTAAGCCAGGATGTAATTAAGAACTGTCGGTTCACTTGATCTCAATGAATTATGATAATTTAACAGCTTCAGACTTTCCATCTCTGTCACTTGGAAAAACAAAAGTCTTATTATCCTTGGGGGAAGAAACTCTGAGGGGCCCCGAGATGTCAGGATCTTGTTCAGAATGGCCAGTGGTCCAAGTGCCATGTACATCAAGAGAAGATGAGTGTGGCAAAGGTTGCTTTTTTCTTTTAAGTGATGGAAATTTTAATGATTTCCTTCCATTCACAATTTTGCTGGGGCTGCTGTGGGTTTTTTCACCAACTGATGGACCAGTGGATGGCGAAGGAGATGAGGAGTCAGAGTCCTGTGATTCTGACTTCTTTATAAGACGAAGATGGGACAGACTAAACTTATGACGACCAGACTTTTCTTTACCTTGCGTTTCCTGAGTTTCTGGAGGCAAGACAGGCAGTTCTTCCAACTCTACATTTTTTTGTTGAGATGTTATGGAAGAATCGGAACTTATGTTTTCCTTTTTGCCTAATTTTTCTTTCCTCTTGACAAGAAGAACAGGAGATCCAGGTTGTAGCTCTGGTCCACAAGGGGGAGGAGCTCTGGTAACTTTTGTTCTGTGAGATAAGGTATGCGTACTCGAAAGCTGGGAATCATCAACACTTTTCTCCTTCTCATCCACTTCTTGATGTAAACTTGCTTTTTGATCCTTCTCCTCAACATCCTTGTGGTTGTGATCACTTTCAGAATCATTAGAAAGCAACGCACTTACAGGACCGGTTGTTTTCTCACCATCGTCAGCTACCTTTTCTGAATGACCATCTCCACAGAAAGTTACAGTTCTACGTTTCTCTAGAACAGTTTGTACACTCTGGCTTATCAAGAAATCTGTCTGACAAGTGGCATCCTCAACATTTGGCTGGACCGTGTTCGTGTATTTGTGATCCTGTTGAATTATTGTCTGACTGGAGACGGCTGACTGAGAAAGATCCACTATTTCCTGAGCTGAAGTAGCTCTTTCTTCATCAGATTCTGGAACACTGCTAGACCTTAACAAATTTTCAGCCTGATCTTTATCTGGAAGGGCTGCTGAGCTCTGTAGTCGCTACACAGGAAAGAAAATCAGCTTGGCAAATAAATGTTCAGGTGGTTAAATCTTATGTGATGTTGACAGATGATAGTTTTGTGTGGATAACATGTTCGTTATTTTTTATTTAGGGTAACATACTCAAATAACAATGTTAATTTTTTACATTTCTTTAAACAGACACTTCTGTTACATTGTAAATATTTGTAATTATTCAAGTCATAAAACTACATATTTTATAGTAACATAACCGTATCAAGCTACATATCTTATAGTAACATAACCTTATCAAGCTACATATGTTATAGTAACATAAGCTCATCAAGCTATATATGTTATAGTAACATAAGCTCATCAAGCTATATATGTTATAGTAACATAAGCTCATCAAGCTATATATGTTATAGTAACATAAGCTCATCAAGCTATATATGTTATAGTAACATAAGCTCATCAAGCTATATATGTTATAGTAACATAAGCTCATCAAGCTATATATGTTATAGTAACATAAGCTCATCATGATCTCTCCATTCATCTACACTTTTAGTTCAATTACACATGTTTTTCAAGTATGATGGGAAGATCAAAATCAGGTGTCTCTCTGTAGTGTCGTACAAGTTGAAATAAAGGGTTAACACCACAGAAACTCCTGGTAAGGCACTTTCTTAATGACTCAAACTACCACATCCTTCCTCAGGCCTAATTACCTAATGTTGGGTGCTAGTTTATCTTGTCAAAATTCAATATTTTACCCCTTGGCTCACAGTTAAACCAAAGACCTCTCAGACAACAAGCAAGTGCTCAACAAACTGAGAAAAAGGCTTAAAATGACAGCATTTTCTAATAACTCAAATTATCCCACTCTTCTCCTGTCAAACAAGATCTTGCTTTCTGCCTTATCTCCCCCACATTGGGAGTTAGTTTTTCTTGTAGTAAGTAGAAACTTTTTCTTTACTTCTTTGACTCATATTCGAGCCTCTTGCAGATCGTGCGAGTGCTCTACAAACTGAGATAAAGGACTAACTTACCAGCAACTGATAGTAAGGCAGTTTTTAACAAATCAAATTACCACATCTCGAGGCCTGGTTATTCAAGGTATAAGCTTATTTTTACTAATTTAATAACTTCCTTAAGCTTTTAATAACAAATAACTTACTGATGTATATACTACTACTGAATTCAAGTGAGCACAAAAAACATAGAGCTCCCTATTCACTTGGGTGACTAGAAGATGATACAAAAGAATTATTTAAAAAATATAACCACAGTGAAAGAAAAAATACTAGTTTTCATTACTCACTAAAAATGTTTTTATGTAAAATTTTCCATTTAATTATATGATAAAAAAATACCTTGCTAGCTTCTCGGCGCTGGAACTCTACTTTGGCCATCTCTGTTGCTACCCAGTGTGGAACATCGGGTATAGCATAGGCTATACCAAACTTCAAAGCTAGGATAATATGCTACAAAGAATATCAAGATTGAACTATGACTCCACTTATAAAACTTTCCACTGCTTTTAATGCGATTGGTTTAAAAACTTAATTATGTTATTCATTACAATATTACTCATAGTATTTTTAACTACCATTCAGAGGCTTTTAGCCTGTACACAGAGAAGAAAGGAAACAATTAGAGAGAAAAACAGACTTTATAGTATTTGTTGTCATATAATCGACTAAATACCAAAACTTTGAAGCATCACAAATATTACATAAAAACAAGGTTACTTATAGTAAAGAAAAACTTTAAGATAATACTTAAGGTCTCCGTTATCCTACCCTAGCAAGACCACTTTTTTACTTGATCTTATAAAAAGTTTACAACTAGCTACATTGGAAAACTAAGGAAGATAGAATATTGAGACATTTTTCTGACAGTCTTGACAAAACCATAAAGTTACGTACAATAATGAATCGTATTCCATTATTATTTTCTTACACGAAAAATTCTGTACAAATCGAATCAATTTTCATGTACCTATGAATGTATACACATACCTCTAATACAATTATCAGCATTATGGTACCACTAGTGGACATAGAAGGAAACATTCTTTGAACTTGACCAGACATACCAATCAGTGCACAGTTAACTATTACTGCTATCACTCCCATCAGTTCCATAGCATCCTAAAAAATGAAATGTACATTTTGAGAAAAATTATGTTGCCCTTAACCAATCAGCATACAGTTAAAACTGACAGAAGATCAGCATACAGTTAAAACTGACAGAAGATCAGCATACAGTTAAAACTGACAGATCAGCATACAGTTAAAACTGACAGAAGATCAGCATACAGTTAAAACTGACAGAAGATCAGTATACAGTTAAAACTGACAAAAGATCTGTCACATTTTCTAAGATATGAATTTTTTTTTGTCTTCCCCAATTAGTGTTATTTACATGAATAACAATTCTGTAGTGTCACACTATTTCATGACAGAAATCCCCCATAGCCTTTTAACGTGTCAACATCTCACAAAATCTTTAAAATAAATTAGATTAATGTTTGAATGTATTGTCAGTTATAAATGTTAAAATATGACATACTTGCCAGCTTCCGATGTTTTCACACCGCTGTCCAAATGGCCGTTGAAAGATCATGCACAGTTTAAAAGCATCACTACGTATTTCTATGACGTTGTTGAGAAGAGCACAGAAGGCTGCCAAGGGGAAAGCTGAACTGAATAAAACGACGTATCCAAACTGGATGAACATCTCCAGATAATCTTCAAAAGTGCCTTCATACTGGTAGTCACAAATAGTCAAGTTTTAAAAATACATTAGTCTTACCTTCATACTGGTAGTCACAAACAGTCAAGTTTTAAAAATACATTAGTCTTACCTTCATACTGGTAGTCACAAACAGTCAAGTTTTAAAAATACATTAGTCTTACCTTCATACTGGTAGTCACAAACAGTCAAGTTTTAAAAATACATTAGTCTTACCTTCATACTGGTAGTCACAAACAGTCAAGTTTTAAAAATACATTAGTCTTACCTCCATACTGGTAGTCACAAATAGTCAAGTTATACATTAGTCTTACCTTCATACTGGTAGTCACAAATAGTCAAG